GTACCTCTCAATTCGGTTTTCTATAACGTGGGGGAGGAAAAGGGGTAAGTTATCTTTATTAGAAATTTAGAACTTAATCGTAGGAGACACATAAATATCAATTTGATTTTAATTATGTAATTTTATTAGTAATTTTTTCGGAGTGATGAAATTTTGGCAATCTTTAAATTTCTTTTCCTTTTTTATACGGACAATTAGGTATTAATTATTTTCTTTGGAATATCTTGTATAATATGTTAAGGGATAGAATCCCATATCGACTAAAGAAGTAAACATAAACCAACTTATAAAGGATTGTGTTACTTCTCTTAATAATGTTGATTTTTTAAAATGGAACCCCAATTCTTAACATAATATCAGAGTTCATTAAACTTTAACGAGCAATTCGATCCGGTTAAAATTCCAAAAGTGAGCATACGGATTTTAAGATTGGTCTGCTCAAAACGAGCTACCATCTTATGAGAGCATGTTAAGGGATAGAATATCATATCGAATAAAGATGTAAATATAAACCAACTTATAAAAGATTATTTTATTGAATTTGCGAGGTAATAGGGTTTGTCTTATTGGGAATTGAGATTAATCCTCTGATTCAACTCTAAGATTATCATTTAAATATAGGATTCTACCAGTGGTTGACCAGCAGAATGAGATTATCGCGAGTTACAGTATTCCCACAGTTGACTCCTTGAGCAAGGCTTTGTGCGATGCCCAACCAGGTGTCTTGCTGTCTCTTAAGGGAATCTCTGAAATAGAACTCGAGAATGATACAATCCTTGAGGTTCAAAATATTCGTCAAATTCAATGTACGTGCATGTGGTAGTCTTGAATCCCAATGTATAAATTATGAACCGTTAAAATTTGAAGTATCCCACTATATAAAAATGTTACAATCGTATAGAATTTCCCGCACTTTCAAACCCTTGAGTCTCATTCTTAAAAAAATTTCCTAAATTTTATCACAACCACAACATTACGTGCCCTTGTCTGACTACCGTTTATAAATTGTTTATAATTGATCAAATCATGTTTTTTTTTTTTACGTACTTCGTGAGAGTCATAAGTACTACACACTTATTCATCACCAATTTCTATCTATTTATAATTTAAATCGTTTATAAACAACTCCAAAACATACTTTATTATTCATCTATGTTGTGTACTAGAGAAGGAAAATAGAACACGTCGATTTATAATGGAATTATACTGAAATGGTCAAGTTTCGAAGGAAATTGTAGCGAAGGTGAAATAGCTCCCAAGCAACTTTTGCCCCTCTTCTACTCAGATCGATCTAAAAAATTTCCTCCAAATTATGGTAAGAAGAATATGAAAATCTCCTAAACTCTCTTGCTAACTTTTCCTTTCCATCTTTTTTAATGATCATCTTGGCACATTTTGCTTTTACTAAACGGACAGAATTATTAAATAAAGAGTAATGTTATTTATTACATATTAGTATTAAATTATTAATTTAGTTAGCATTACAAGGTCAGATCAATTAAATCATGTAAAATCAATTACATTCGTGTTCAAGCATCAATGGTGCTAACTAGTATAAAATATATTTTTTAAAAAGATGAGCATTGCTCATTTTCACTCTCTCTCCATCCGACTAAGTGCTTGTTTTGTAGTGATTATTAGTCGTGGAATTTATATAATGTTTGAATAATAATTAGTAAATTGTGTATCCAAATGTCTCGGGTTTGCTCTCGAGTGGTCACCGGTTCGAGTCCTTTCAAGGCCACTGAGGTGAGTACACGACCGTAAACTTCAGGGTCCCGTGGAATTAGTTGAGATGCGGGCAAGCTGATCTGGACTGTATCCAACAAAATTCGTGGATAAAGAATACATTTGACCATCTTCCTTGAGGAGAAAAAAACCAAAACTTTTGACATCTCTTCTACCTCTCTAGATCACGATAATTAAAAAAATTGGTGAACTTTGACCATCACAATTCTAATGCAGAAAATTAACATGTTGCACCATAAAGAGTATAACAACTTAGATTTAACAAATTCTAAGAATTTCAAATCAACTCATATCAAAAAATTTGCCCAAAAAAACTACGGTGCAACCCCCATTACTTGGCTTTTTCAGGAGTTCATCAGCCATCGATACTTTTTTCCACCACACACCTAGCATCAACACCTCCCTAATGCTCATATGCAAACTTGCGAACCTCCCAATAATATCTCTATCATGGCAATTAACGTCACGTCATGGAAAATGTAAATAAATTTCTCTAGCAACACCATCGTCTTTCATGAAGAGAGAGACATTGTCAGCATCCAACTTCGAGCAGTTAACTGAGCTTACTTTAACTTTTTGACATTTTTACTTGACGTAACCGAGTTGTTTACGGTTCCAACAATATACGTTCTTTTCTTTTTTGGAGTTATCCTTCTTTCAATTACAATCTACAAGTAAAATTTTCACAAGAATATAAGCTCCACCAATCAACATTCTCTCTCTTGAAAT